GGTGGGGTGGGGGGGAAGAGGTTGGGAGTTGGGTGGTTGAGATGGGGAGGGTGCTTAAGGCTTATTGGTGTATTACATAAATTCGTGCAAGTTGTTGTACAGAGTTTGCAGATGTAATTCTTCCCCATCTCCTCTTTTCCCCCCTTCCATCAAATCGGAAGTTGTTCCCCCCGCGGGCTATTTGTGCTGTCCCCCCCTTCGGCGACCTCACGTCGTGCTGATGACCTGATCTGATCCCCCCGCTTCCTCCGCCACTCCAGCCCCACCCCACATTTGCAACCCTCAACCACTAACCGAATACTAACCGCTCCGGCAAATTGAAGTCCAGCTGGATGGTGGAGCACTGCCACTTGCGGCCGATGGCATCCCGGATCTTGATGTCGATCTTGGGGCCGTAGAAGGCGCCACCGCCCGCGTCAACCTGACCAGACCAGGGACCGAACACGTGTATATGTGTGTTCGTGTTCGTGTTTGTGTCTTGTAAGGATTCGAGCCGTGTTCAGGAGTTACACAAAGTACACATATACAATGTGCGTGTGTGTATGTATGTGTGTACGTGTCAATCGGAGGAGACGTTTCCCCCCCTGAAGCCCCCCTTTCCCCCCCACCCACATACGTACATACATGTACATGTACACATATACATTACATACATACACTCTACCCCACCTGGTAGTTCCAGCCTTTGGCCCCCAGCGCCTCCACCAAAGCCGCCTCCGCTGTCGACCAGATGACGTCATCGCCCACTGACTTCTCCGGACGGGTAGACAAGTTGATCTGGAGGGGCCGGGGGGGCCGGGGGGGGGGAGGGTAGCACAGGGAGGGAGGGGAGGGGACGTGGGGGCTTTCAAGGGGGTGGGGGTAAAGAAGGGGGTGTGGATACGCGACTAGGGGTGGTGCAGGGGATAAAGGGGGGAGCGGTTGCGAGCTAGGAGTGTGACTAGGGGGGCGGCTTTTCAAAGCCGAAAAGGGGCCCGGCCCCGGTGCAGCCACTTGCTCCCACCGACATGGCCCGCTGTGGGGGCTGGCACCTCCGCCTGCGCAACGGCCCGACCTGGGCGACCCCGCCCTCCTCCGCCAAACTCGGAGCCATGGATTGTCGCGCTCCGATTTATCTGGAATGTCTCCTTTGGCATTTCGATATAGAAGGGATATAGCATTCAAACGCTATTTTTTGCGGGGCGGGATATGTAAGCCACTGACTGACTGACTGACTGACTGACTGCAGTGAACCCGGGGGGCTCGGCCCCCCGAATGGCGCTTCGCGCCCGGGGCCTCGCCCAAAAATACAATGTAGGTGTACGTGGAAATGCAGTAGTACGATTTCTGTACACAATGTCGTACCCAGCTCACCTCGTACTCGTGGAATCCAAAGGTTCCCAACGTCTCCTCCACCAAATCCAAAACGCCCTTGATCTCCGAAGTAATCTGTTTTGTCGGTTGTTAGGTGCAGCAACTGAATAAAAAACTGCAACAGGTAAAAACGTGGATAGAGCAATGTGCGCTACAGCAAACCCATTTTCCGTTGACGGTTAGGACTTGGTAAAATGCGGTTAGAAGGTTCGCTTTG